AATATGTTTCGAGCAGTGAACCTTTTATTAGTGAGTATACATGTGCTATTACCAGAGTCCCTTCAAACACAAACTGCGGATTTAGACAAATGATTAATTTCTAATGTCATTTCAGAATCAATAAAGTTCATAATCTCTAACAAAATGACACTGATCGTCTTATATCTGATCATAATTTCCATCTTTTTTTTAAAGTAAATCACAATAACATGTTCTTGTGTGACGGATGATACTACAAGAATAAGTTGTGTCGCTGTTTGCATGGATCAGTTCCTATATTAATGTGTGGTGTTTCGTTTTGTCGGTTGTCAGTATTTCCAGTTACAATAAAAACATAAATGGAAATGAGCAGGCAACAGTCAAATCAACCATTTGGTGATTTCGAGATGTGTTCATCACTGACATTTCTAATGTCACTATCTCTTTTCCTTTTCCATTACAAATTGTAAAAAGTTTTTATTTGGATAACTATAAAGAGTATACATAAAGGTGAAAAAAATTCAAATGTTTTTTTTGAAAACAAACAAACACGAAAGTTTAACTTGCGCAAGAAGCAACAAGAGCATCAGCACCAACATCGTAAAACAACGACATCTTACTAATCGCTAGAGCTTCTCCATACAAAGACGCTCTCGATGATCTCTCTATCTTAACCTCCACGAAGTCACCAACTTCAGGTTCCCTCTTACCATCTTTGTCTTTATCAAACAAAGGCTTTCTAACAAACGAAACTCGATGTCCTTTATCTGTTTTTCCCATGAGTTCAGTCTCAGGAGCTCTTTTGTTCGGCCCTTCCACCAAAACTAACTGAGTAGAACCCACCTGAGAGTCATAACAAGGACCTGTTGTCTCACGGAACGCTTGGATGAGTTCTGTTAAACGTCTCTGCTTCACTTCCTCTGGAACGTCGTCTGTGTAGTTCCTGTGAGCGTGTGTCTTCTCCCTCATGCTGTATGCAAACATATACGCCATGTCGTATCCAACTGCTCTCACCAGGCTTAGTGTTTCTTGGTGCTCCTCTTCAGTTTCTCCACAGAAGCCTGCCAATATCAAGAAATGACACAGTTAGCTGAGTTTTTGATCAGGTTTAAACAAGGTTATAAATCAGATGAGTTTAAGCAATGTTATTTGAGTAAGCTTACCGGTTATGAAATCGCTGGTTATAGCCACGTCTGGTATAATACTCCGAATCTTCTTAACAAGATCCAAGTAAGCTTCTCTGGTGTAACCTCTCTTCATCCTTTCAAGTATTCTGCTATTACCAGACTGTGCAGGAAGATGAATGAGATTACATATGTTATGTCTATCTCTCATCATATACAGCAGATCATCAGGGTAATCTTTAGGATGAGGAGAAGTAAACCTAAACCTCATCTCAGGAAACTCCAAAGAGAGTCTATCCAAAAGATCAGCAAATCTCAAACCCATGTTTTTAACCTTACACCTGCTCGAAAACCCTTCACTGTATTCCCACTTACCCCCTCCTGAGGGCTCAGGATCAGACGAATCATCGTTGTAACTGTTCACATTCTGTCCTAAGAGAGTAACTTCTTTCACACCAGACTCCCATAACTCCTTAACCTCACGGACAATGGACTCAACAGGACGTGACCGTTCTCTACCTCTTGTAAAGGGCACAATGCAGAAAGCACACATGTTGTTGCATCCTCTCATAACCGATACAAACGCCGTAATAGCGTTCTGAGAGATTCTGACTGGAGTTATGTCTGCGTAAGTCTCTTCAAGAGAAAGAAGAGTGTTGATTCCTTTCTGTCCATAGTCCACTTCTTCTAATAGCCTTGGGAGGTCTCTATAAGCATCAGGACCACACACCACATCAACCATTTTATCAGAATCAAGAATCTTGTCCTTTAACCTCTCAGCCATACATCCCAAGACAACAACTTTAGGAGGTTTAACAGACTTTGCTCTTCCTTCAGCGACGTTGGCTTTCCACTCACGTTTTAGGAACCAGAAGTAGTTAAGTCTTTGCCATACTCTCTGCTCCGCGTTTTCACGGATAGCACAAGTGTTGACGAAAATGACTTCTGCGCTCTCTGGAACGGTGACTACTTCTTTGTAACCGGATTTGTTCATGATGGAGAGGACTATCTCCATGTCGTTTATGTTCATCTGACATCCGTATGTTTCGTGATAAATCCGACCTTTTGATGATGTTGCAATGTCAGAATCTTGTGTGCATCTAAGAGAAAGACAGAGCGAGGAGTGTATTAGTAAAGGCCCAGACTTTGAACACCAACGAACACAAATCTATGGATTGGTGAGCAAACACATAGCTACTGCAACTAAATTGGAACTCTAATCATCTAAAGTTCAAAACTTTCAATGGCTAAACACCAATTCTTTCAAAAACAGAGCTTTAAGATGTTATGTAAAGGTCCAGACTTTGAACAGTAACGAACACAAACTTTGCACTATCTTGAAACTCTAATCATCTAAAGTTCGAGACTTTAAGAGTTCTTGATTGACCAATCAATGGCTAACATCAACTATACGGTTACAAAGCAAACGAGATTCTTTTTAAAAATACAGAGCTTTAAGATGTAAAGGTACTTTGAACACCCAACGAACACAAACTTGCACTATCTATGGATTGGTGAGCAATTACTAGGCTACTGCAACTAAATTGGAACTCTAAATCATCTAAAGTTCGAGACTTTCAATGGCTATCACCAAAAACAGAGCTTTAAGATGTTAAGTCTCCATAGAAGACTTACTCAGATTCGGTTTGTGGAGCAGTAAGGGAAGTTTGAGCTTTGGAGATGAATTGGTGAAGGCTTGGACCATCGAATTTACCGGAACCGGCAGTCTGAGAAACAGAGAAGCTTCTGGAAAGATCTAAGGCAAACCCTTTCTTCCTCTTGATTGAATTCTGTGTGAGACGATAGCAACGAGGGAGAAGAGCAGAGGAAGTAGAAGAAGAAGAATGGTTAAGTTTCGGGGAGAGGAATGCTAGAGCGAGACCGCGTCGTGTAGAGGCTTTGAAGCAGAGAGAGCAACCTTGAGGATTGCTGAGAATGGATGATAGAGATGAGAGGGAAGAAGACGCCATTGGAGATGGATGAATGATGCTCCTCTAAAGGAACAACAACGAACGGGAGGCTCTCAGGGCTTTAGGGATTTTTACAAAGTCAATCTACTCGCGGATGTTCACACAAAAACGCAGCGTTTCGTTGTCCCAGAGTCAGGGGTAGTACGGACATTTCCTTTCAGTACTCCTCTTTCTAACGAACATTTTTTGGTAAGAGAGAAGAATGGTGATGCATAGATGGAGAAGATCAGGATATTTTATTAGATTCGGATGTAAATCTCTTATTAATCTCCGACCAAACCATAACTCAGTGTCTCGTTCTGTTTCAGGTTTGACTTTGTTTTTCTGTAATTCAAATTTTTAATAAAGTATCGAACTTTGGTTTAGATATTTGTACCAGGCACAAGGCAAGTTTTTTTGTGTGTTTCTTAATTGAACACATGCATATGCTTGCTTCAGGTGACTTAGCAGATGTTAAATCTTCAAGATGTCCATAATAATTAATTTCCTTCACATTTCTTCTTTCAGCTTTTAGGTTTTAATAGAAGCGTATGTCTATGAGTGGACATCAAAGCACCATGGAAGCATCAGCGCAGAACATGGATTAGGTATATAATTTCCTTAAGCTAATGAAATCTTCTACAGCAAACACTACGTATAGAATCCTAGGGTCAATATATTCTGAAGAAGATATAATATTTGCAGGTCGAATTAATGGTTTTTATTAAAAAATTGATCCATACAAAGTTCTTCATATCACTCTCTTCTCCCCCTAAGGTATTGCTTTATGATTACGCACCGAAATTATTGAAAGCATCTAATCATCGATCTATGATGAATGCTCCTCCAACGTCAAAAGTGAGGCAGGAATCTAATCATCTTTTTTAAGTTTTGGGAATCATTGACATTCTTTTTCTTTTGACGAATGGAAGGTTGTGATCAGATGATTCTTCAAAAAAGATGAAAAGCAGCCAAGTTTGAGCAGAGCAGTATTGATTGATGCAAAGGAACATAAAAGCAAATGTTTGATTATTTGATAAGAGTTAATTTTAAACTCACTAAAGTGTATATGCTTTCTTTGTTGCTGTCACTATGTTTCAATATCTTATTGTCATGGATAAGAAAGAATAAAAACCTATGGAGCTTACGTGTTTCTGAAGTCAAACTTTGCAGTGTATTTAGACCCAAAACTCAAAAGGGAAGAATCTATCTATCATCTTATATAATAGCAATTCAAAGATTCTCTCACACATAATATCTTTCTATTCTTGGCAGTTTTGGTTTAAGTTGACCTTCTTGATTCAACTAGACTTCTCTCTAGTTAGATTTTCACATTTTGGTTGATAAAAACACAAAGCCAAAGCTCTAAAGGTGGTAATTCTGAGACATTATATTCATATTACCATGGCCATAGTTTCTATGGTGAAATGCATATGAACATATCTGGTGTTTCAAAGTATTAATGCATATAACATCAAGATTGTAATGACTAGTCAAATATGATGGTAATCAAATGATTCAATCAAGTTGCTTACACATTTAAACCAGTCCGTCCAAAAATTAATCACAAGCGCCAAAAAGAAGACAATGAAAGCAACTAAGGCATCCATCAAAGGGTACATAGTTGGAGACAACTAGTTTCGATAATGCATAACAATTTGGTTACAATAAAATGTACACAAGTCGGAAAAAAATACGAACATGGAATGAAGTTTAGGAAATACATAGATTTTGGAATTTTATTGATTATTATTCCAAACTGATGTGATCATGATCGTGATCGTGAGAGTAGCAAAAGCGTGTAAAGATTCGGTTCTTTAGCACAAGTGGAAAGACACGATAAAACGGCGTCGGACTGATGACTGGACATAGATAGATACAACGCTTTGAACACAAGATAGTAGATGATAAGACACTATAAAAGTGCTCATGGATATGGCAAGAAGACATAAACACTCACAATCTTCTCTCTCTTTCTCTTACACTCATCATCACTGTAATAAATTTAAACACAAATGACAACTTCATCTGAATCAACTCGCAAGGTTGGTTCATTGCTTCAAATACTCTGATTAGTGTTGTATATCCTTTAGCTTGATCATTTCTCTCTTTTTTTTCTTCTTTCTGTTAGGGTCTGACCAAAATCGCCACGAATAGACTACAGAAAGAGTTCATGGAGTGGCAGACAAATCCTCCTGCTGGTTTCAAGCACAGAGTCTCTGATAATCTCCAACGGTACATTACTATATACTTACACCTTTCTTTAGTTCATTTTCCAAAAAAATAAGAAATGATGAAATGTTGGTGTGAAAAGATGGATCATTGAAGTGAATGGAGCTCCAGGGACCCTTTATGCCAATGAAACTTACCAACTTCAGGTGGAATTTCCTGAGCATTATCCTATGGAAGCTCCACAGGTTCCTCCTTTAAACTCTTTTTGTTATCAATACTTAAATCATCACATAGATCCCTTAACGAGTTGGTTTGACATAAAAACAGGTTATCTTTCAGCATCCAGCTCCACTCCATCCTCACGTTTACAGCAACGGTCACATTTGCTTGGGTAAGAAACAACACACAATGGACTCATGTGAGATGATTTGCTACTATATTTCAAAGTACTCTCTGGTAACAAAATCTTGATCTGGCTGATGCAGATGTTTTGTATGATTCATGGTCGCCTGCGATGAGACTAAGTTCAATCTGTCTTAGCATTCTCTCAATGCTCTCAAGCTCATCCGTCAAGGTTTATTGTCTGTTTCATCTTTCAAATGATTTTTCATTATAAGTACAAAGTTTTCTTACAATACTTCTTGTTCACTTGCAGCAAAAGCCGAAAGACAACGACCATTACTTGAAAAACTGCAAAAATGGAAGATCCCCTAAAGAAACTAGGTGGCGGTTCCACGACGATAAAGTTTAACATCTCTAAATGTGTCCTTTAATATTGTAATTAAAACCAAATGTATGATTGATCTCAGGTTGAGTTATCTCTTGACCTGTTTCTATCTTCAAAACAAGAACGGCTTCTTTCCACAGTTTTAAAGCACACAAAAGCTTGTGCACTAGACTATGAAGTTAAGAAAACAACATGGTTATTATTAAGTGAAAGAAATGGCCCGGATCATCTGTTAAGAAGAGATCAGAGATCATCAACAACTGGTCTCGTTAGTATAAACCAAGAACTGAGAGAATGATTGATCGAAAGATTCTGTGACAGTACCAACAAGCATCAAAATTTGGCTCTAGCCTAGCATTTTCTTACTTAACCAAATAAGCTTAGTTTTAATTTTAGTATATGTAGGAAGGTTGTTCATAGAGCAAGATAATTAAAAAATTTAAATCATCAAAACTGCTAATTAGAGTTTCTAATTATTAGTATTTGGATAGAGATCAGACTAGAGTTCCTAAATATATTTTATTTTATATTTTATTCTATATATATTATTTTATTTCATTTTATAGTTCAAAAGATCATAAATACAACATCTCCACCTACATTTTTAAAGTTATGCAAAACATTGTTTAAGTTTCAAAAAGTGTTGTTATCACAATATAATCCTTAATTAAAATAATTTTAAAAAACAGTTTGTTATTTAGTTGAAAGCCTAATATTATTCTTTTGTTTTATGTGATTTTTATTTAAATCTCTAATTGACTACTCATTATACTTTGTGTTGATAACTAATTATTTAACTGAAAATTATAAATTCTATTTTTAATATTTTTAACAAAAAAATTGTTAGAAACTATTCTTAATTAACTGATGTAATATCATTTATATGATTATGTATCTTGTATGAAAAAGTTTGCGATACCAGTTTTGTGTTTACATAAAGGAACTTATAAGTTTTTTGTATAAGTTCTGTAAGCAAATTATCTCTTTGTTCTTATTAGAGATCCAATTTATCGCATGGTTCATTACCACATCTCATATCTTTCAATATTTAAGAAGCAAAGAAACAATTGTATTAAGTGAACTGTTCAATTAGATTGTTACTATTATATTGACATTGTGCACAGAAAATACACAAAATGACTGAATTATGTTGACTTGTTGGCATATTTTATCTTTTGGTATTTGTGTGATACCAAATTTCATATTTCCCTTTTGAGGCGTCATGGTGTTGAAGTATTATTCTGAAGATGTTGAAGAATGGTGAAGACATTGAAGATCTGAAAAATTTGATCCCTTTATGATTATGTATTTGTTTGACTACATTCGTAGATGATCTGAGATTTTATGACTATGTTTGATTTTGATATTGCCTAATTGAATTAAGTGGAAAAAATGGTTTTGTTGTTTTGGATCTACGCAAATTTTATTTACAAAATAGTTCTTAAAAATGTACCCCTTGTTCAGCATCCTCTCTTCCCTGATACAAAGCCTTTAAAGTTGCTGGTACTTGTTTAAAAGCTACTGACAGTGAAAAAGATGTGTGAAGCAAATCTCTCATGTGGCAAACGCATGTGTGACTTCATGGTTTTTTTAAACCATGGATTTGTTTTCCCTAATTCTTGCAGTGGCAGGAAGATGATTTTAACATTGGATACACATCTTATACTCAGAGATACAATTTGCTGAGCTGATTAAGAATGCAAGATGCTATGTTAGGTTTGAACTTGACACAAAAGAAGTTGTAATCATCAACTTATGCCTTAGGCTTATCCTGATGATTCATACCGTTGAATAAGAGTTCAAATGAGAGGTTGATGACAAGTATGAGTATTCATGTGAGAACATAGATCTTAAAGTGCATGGATTGATCTTGCATAACCTTGATTTGAGTTGCTGGCAAATCATTCCTAGCATTGAGTCTAGATCAAGTGGCTTGTCAAAATAGGAAAAGCGCTGGTTCTATTCTAGTTAAAATTTAAAATATATTCTAATATTATTTTCTTAGTTTAACACAAATCTAAAATAACACAACTTGAAACTTCAAATGACATAAGAAAAAAAAAACACAAAGTAAACAAGTGTCACACATTTCTTCCCCTCAAAAACATTTTACTCATATCCTGAACTCAAGAGTTTATCTTCCTGCAATCCTTTCTGATTTCACCACTCGAACCGGTCAAGGGAGAGATATTTCCCATCTTGATCATCGACTCGGAAAACTGCTCAAAAAACTCTTCTTGATCCTCTGCATACTTCTTTACAAGCTCTCTCGATTTATCATTACTGCTGAACAGAACCTGGTCCGAGTTCAACAAACCCATGTTCTCTATCAAGTTCTTGAAATAGCTGTTGTCGAACTTTGCCGCGCTGACTATGTCCAGCACCGAGAGAATCTGGTCTCCTCCAGATCTTGGACACTTTTGGCGCAAGTTAGCAGCGAAGGATTGTTCCAATGTCATGTCTGGACTACCGTTTCCGGACTGATTGTATAGTCTCTGTCTGAAACTTGTGCATCTCGAGAATCCAATAGTGTGACTCCCTGATAAACAGTTAAGGTAATAGAGTTTCTTTGATTATGTACCGTGCATGTCAAGCAACTGTGATGTAGTGAAGGAAGCTTACCAGAGAGAGCGACAAGGTCGGTAACATCAAGTCCTTGACGATTAAACTTGCTGAGAATTGTCTGGAACGTGTTGTTTGGTGCAGGGATGTTGTTGTTCGAACCACTCAAGCTTGCACTTCTTGAATCCCTTCTTCCCAATGGAACCATCCAGCTTGGTCCACCAGTCTAAACCATTAAATCAAACCAAATCAGCTGTTTTTTCCAAAAAAAAAAAATTGCTCTAGACAACAAAACATTGTAGAGAAAACTTACAAGAACAGAGGAGTCTCTAGCGGCTAGGGTTAGAATATCAGCACAAGAGACAGTTCCAGGACACTCTTTCTCTAACTGAGCTTTGATCTGATCAACTACTTCAAACCCACGAGCTGATTTGCTGTTAGGGTTGGAGCTTTTCTCACTCACAATCCTCCCACTGCTGTCTAGAAGCAAGGAGCCATCACAACCCTGCTTTTCACAGTTACCTTGCTCAGTACGTAATAAACAAACAAAAGAAACTGATGGAACGTGGAAGAAGTTAACCAAACCTGAACGAAACAGTCGTGGAAATGAAGTCTCATCAAGGAAGCAGCCATACGGGTCTCTCTTGCAACAGCTTGAGCTACAACTGATCTCACAATCTCTCCGGCTTGGGGGCATGAATGTGCGTAGTAACCAGGGTTTAGTTTGCCTCCATAGCTTTGATCACAGAGATAAAGAGGGAGGATGGAAAGGAGAGAAAGAACAAAGAGAAGTCTTGCCATTATGTTCAACAAGAAGGTGAAGAGAGGAGAAGACTTTTGTGATGAGAGGAGTGATATGAATCAAGAGAGGAGAAAGAAGGTATTTATAGGGAGAGACTTTGAACGAGAAGTGGAGTTGTTATTAGCTTGATAGGGATTTAAGATAATTATCAAGGAAACTGCAAGAAAAACAAAACGTAAAAAAAAAATTATTGGAGAAAAGAAGATTAAAGTTTGTGTTTGGTACCCAACATTGCATGCTTAGTTTGACTAATTAACCTCCTTTTATGATTAAGTTATTTACGTCTGATTTGACTTCATTGGAGGGGGGGAAAAAGCAAAGCAAGCTTTGAGTTTTAAATATATTGAAATTGATCTATAATCCATATGTTAACAACTCGCACCAATAATTTGATGACAATTAACTCTTTTTGTCTAGAAATAAATATTCGAATTTATTGATCTTTTATAAGACTGTTTGTAACTTTTGAAATCTTGCTCATAATTAAATGTTTTAATCCTTTCAGTTAAATCAAAGATTATCGAGTTTTGATTTCTTGGAAGTAGTTAAGAGACTTGTTTTACTGATTTTATCTTTTGTAAAAGTTATATAAAAAGTGAAGAAACCAGGTATGAACAGAATACTTACTAATATAGTGCCTAGATTTAACTAATCTGAAAAAAGAATCGAAAAGAAATAACATTTACTTTTTGCAAATGACTTGGTTATGGATAACATGTTCGCAGAGACAAAGTCCAAGACTTTTACGTAGTGAGAAAGAGAAGAGAGTAGGAAGAGATTCTAACTACTCTTTTGAAAATAACAAAAGTTCTTTTAGTGTCAAAGCTTTGTTGACTTGTGAGCACGCTATTGTTCTTGTAACCAAAGCAAAGAAAGAAAACTTTGTTTGTCGTTATCTACCATAAACACATGAATCTGCAGGTAAAAGCAATCTCAAGGTGAAACAGCTTTCAACTCTTTTGACTCTTTCACAATTTTGTTTCCCCCCTCATTCTAGAAACTAAACATGAAAGTAAAACACACACAAAAGTAAAACCCGAGAAGCACAGTTCAACTAGATGCCATACCATTGACTGAGACAAAAACCTTTAGCGAAAGGCAATTAGCAAGTTAGATAGCACCATATGTTCTTTCACTTGGTCTATGCGTTGGTGATTGAGCAGAAGATGCGGAAGCGCGGTCCCATGAGACTTCATTGGCAAATGCATTGTTGATCTCTTCAGTTCTTGAGTAGCTTTGTCCACTTCCACTCGCCTATTTACAAAGACCATTAGAATATACATAGCTATGAATACTTTTGAGTCTCGTCCATTTTTGGAATGCTTACAGTTTCTAGTAAGCCTGATAGAATTGACATGCCTGGCAATGCATCAATCCCACGCTGCATCCATACGAACATATCAGTATCAGTGCTAGTGTGTGTGTGTATATAACGTGCGTGATGAATTAGAGAATCAAGAATGGAAGTAGAAGGTTACCACGCGTTCTACTCTTGTTTTGTAGATAAATCCTCCACAGCAGAAAAGTGTAAATGCAACGAGGGATCTGATCAGAAGCAACACACCAGAACACAATTAGCTGAAGCTCATTCTCCTGTTACAAGGCGTTTGTGATTCTGAGAAAGAGATTTTCATACACGCAGGAAAAAACTCCGAATATAGCCCATCCTTTCGCTGATCCTCCTTCAGCACCTTGGTTGTATTCTGAAATAATTTAAACAAATTGTATGCATCAGAAAGAGACAGAGCAAGCAGTGGAGAATGATAAGGGTATAATAAGCTCACCACAGAGTTTTGAGAGGAAAAACTGAACAGGACCATAACCATCCACTGGGATAGTGACATTGACTTCATACGGAGTCTTACGAGATTTCTCACCTTTTAAAAAGAAAGAGATTACAGAACTTGGAAAAGCAAAGGTCAAAGGGACAATGAAAAGAGAAGGATAAAAAGAGGTTATTACAATTCCAATCCAGTACTAAAGTTGAAGGTGATAAAGTTGTTGGATGATTCCCACTCAAGGAAGAACCAGATATCGTAACGGCAAGACCATTCTCCGGGGAAACCTTGATGATAGGCTTCCCTACCAATGTTGAAAGAGAAGCAATTGCAGTCATATAGAGTGTAAGATGAGTCTGCTCGGTCTTGAAGCTACAATAATCAGGAACACTTCATGTAGTAAATACACAGCAACTCAAACATGAACAGAACTAGGTTCTTGATTCCCTACCTAAATTCACGACGAGGCTTGTCAAAGCCAAATTGTGTCATCCCATTATAAATCTGCAGGTTAAATATCCATTTTATAGTTTTTGTTCAATGTGGAAAATAAGCTGCTGTCAGAAACATGTGTTTGTTCTGTGCTTACAAGTTCCCATGAGCGAGGATGCAAACCGACCGTGAATCCCTTGAAGACACGAGGGCCAGGTTTCTCACACGGAATAGCTAACTCGACAGTAACTCTGGACCAGTGGCAGGAACATACATCAGTTGCACGAAAAAGCGATTGTTCTTGTATAATCAGAGATAAATAGTAGCAGAAACAGACCTGCAAGTTGAATCTTGAGTGACACTACATATGCATCCAAGTCCACCTGAATTAAGGAAAATAAGGAACTGAAAACATAATAGATTTTGAGAAGCACTTTTGGGGGAAAGAAAAGGAAGACGCAGACACACCTTTACAGCGTCCATCAACACAGTTTCCACAAATAATATTGACCTGAACAAATAAAAACCACATTCTAAGAAAGGAGCAACTAAAAACTTTCAAAAATAAACTCGTGATTAGATATCTAACCTGTGCTGTACGTCCAAGTTTGTCATAACTATGCTCACAATTCGATAGGTCGCCGTGGTAAAACCCCTACATTGTATATCACAGAACATGAAACAACAAACACTAACAATCGAATCTATGCTCAGAGGAAAACACATTTATGCAACAACTGATTACGATGTTCCAAAACTATGATGCCTTATCACAAACAGCAGAGTAAAGAAGAGGAGAGGTTCTTACTTGTACAAAATCAAACTTTCCAGAGCTAGAAACAAAGTAGCTTAACGGATCAAATCTTCCAAAATCAACATAACCCTGCACACACACACAAAAGATGATTCATGGACCCATCTAGAGCAGAACAAAATTTTGATGAAATGGGAGTGTTACCGCCTGGCCTCTAGTTTCAACATCCTTGCAAAATCTAACCACCAAATCGAACTCCTACATCCATCAAAGACAACTTAAATCAAACCTAACGTCCTCAAAACTCTCCACTATAAACTACTGAGAAGAACGTACAACACAACCTTGCCATCATATTCAAATGGATGACCGATCCAGCTACTCTGATCAACCAAGTTAAAGAAGACACCACTCAAAATCAAACCCAATGCAGCAAAGTAAACACCTTTACAGCACAAAAAAAGTAGTAGAAAAGAGGATACAAAGTCGACAAGACGACTTGAATTGTCGAGAGCGTAGCAGTTCGAATCCGGGACGGGTACAGACTCAGCACCCTCCAATCCAATTACAAAAGCTGCAATTTTTTCACCAAAAGAATATATTTTTAGAAGGAGAAATCACGAAATGCGAAAATCCGACGACGAGGGGTTTTTTTTTCTACCGGAGATGAAGAGAAAGTGAATGAAACTGTGTGGGCACTTCAGTATCTGCATAGTTTAGTACCCTGCGACAATCTATTCTGCGTCTTCTCCGATTCCGGGTTTTTGGATTGAATTACGCCGAATTTGGATATCTCCGGCAGATTCCGATTGAAATGACGACGGATAATATCGATTTCGCTTCATCGTCAAACCTTCTAGGTAGCTTAGAAGGTCTTGCTAATACGTGGGTGTGACTGTGATGATCTAAACCAATTTTATTTTTGAGGTTCTATCAAACCGGATTTTCAGGACATAACCGACCAATTAAGTAATCAACTCGGCTCATCATTCTAGTAAGGTGATAACTGTTTTCTTAGTTTTAGATTTTGGTTTTCAATTTTGTTTTGTTGTAGGTTTTAGTTTTTTTTTGCGAAAATGAGTAGAATAAACCTCAAAAAGTTTTTATCACAAATATAGAACTTAACAATTAAAATGGCCAAAATAACACTTAAATATTTTATTAAATATACATTTATACCCCTTGGATTAACTAATTCTAGATTTTTTTTGTTTGGAGTTGAGGAATGGGGTTTTTGGGATCGAATTTCGAATTTAAAATAATTAAGAAAACTTAAAATTTTCAAAATAAAAAGTGTTATTTTGGTCATTTTAATTTTTGAGATATATTTGTGTGATAAAACCTTGAAAGAGGATTATTTTAGAGAATTGCCCAGTTTTTTTTTGAAAAACACTAACATCAACTTTAACTTTACACTTTAGTTTTTGATTTTCGTTTTTAAACTAATACCAGAAAAATAATACCGATTTTTCAGAACATAACCGACCAATTAAGTAATCAACTCGGCTCATCATTCTAGTAAGGTGATAATTATTTTCTTAATTTTAGATTTTGGTTTTCAATTTTGTTTTGTTGTAGATTTTAGTTCTTTTTTTTTTGAAAAACACTAACATCAACTTTAACTTTACGACTTTAGTTTTTGATTTTCGTTTTTAAACTAATACCAGAAAATCTTATTAATAATAAACAATATCATAAATATATATTAACTGCTAAAATTGTAAAATACATCTAATTATATATAGAATAATACTATATTTAAAATTTTAATACTATAAAATAATATATACCATACATTTTCATAATTTACATAACTTTTGAAATCTATCAATTTTTTAAAATTCACAAATTCTACTCAAATTAATCTCCCAATAACCTCTAACTAATCTATTTGGTTCATCCAAAAAGTTGCTTTCAGACAAGAGTGAATGGTATGTGATGATGTAAACATGAGTTTCAGGTGATGGAGATAAATCATATATGTAACGAATTCACCGAATTAAATAATACATTTATCATTCTACTAAAAAGAAAACACCATTGTAAATTTCTAAAAGGGCAATTCTTTTAAATAGCCATATTTTAAGTATTTATTACAAAAATAGACCTCAAAAATTAAAATGACTAAAATAATATTTTTTATTATGAAAATTTTAAATTTTTTTAATTTTTTTAAATTCGAAACCTTATCTCCATAAAACTTTTTTAGGTCTATTTTAATCATTTTCTCTTTCTATAATTTTAAACAAAGACATGATCGTTTCTGAAAGTCATGAAACAATTACAGATTAAGAAATATATAATCAAAAATTTCTTTTATATTTTTGAGAGATGAATGATATAAACATATCAAACCTCTAAAAATAAGCGATTGGAACGATTTTTGAATAGTCAGTTTGTAGTACTAGTAGTAGTATGCACACTAAAACTACAATTAATATACATGTATTTGTAAGAAAGTATAATATACACAGAGAAATAAGAAAACTATTTTTTCCTGTTATATTTCTTTAATAAAATATAAACAAGAAATTGATTTTACAATACGCTTGGTGTAGTTGATTTAGACCCTTGAATACCAAAAATAAACCATTATCAACCAACCATTAATCCTCTACTTCGTCAAGAGGCTTTCCCTTTTATATTTTCCTCGTTCACCAGTAGTTGAACTGTACAGACAAGAAGCAAAACCCTAAGACCAGTTACAAACACTCAATAGCTTGTTTCTCAAGTCAGAATATAAATCAAAAACATAACTTACCAGCTTCTTTTTCTTCTTCTTTTTCTCAATGTATGCCACGAGGTCTTCTTGACGACCGAGAGAATCATCCAAAGCCTGCATTGAAAAAGATAGTATCTTCAAGAAGCTTTAGTAAATGTATATGTTAATGAATCAAGAAGATGTACCTTCTTGGTTGCAGCAAGCTCTTGCTCCAATATATTGGACCGGCTAATGGCGGCGTTAAGCATCTCTTCCTTTTCTGGAGGCATAGTTGTTGGCTGTGCACTCAAGACGGTTACTTTCTGCTCCAGCTCAGCCATTCTTTTCATGATGGCCATGAAATCTTCTCCTGAGATTGAGGGAACCATCATTTTCTCTGACTGCATTGCACTCTTGTTCATTGATGCATCGTCACAGTACATGGGGCTCGAGTATAAGGTCGACTCGGTTAGTTTCCTTGGGACGTTTTTAGTCACTCTGATCATGGTGACAACACCCATCACAAGAGCCATGACGCCGGTGAAAATGGGTGACCTCCCTCCATCGTTTGTAGCGTTGTTGCATGCTTCTTGGATGGCATAAACTTCCTCTGCTCAGAAGACAACAAGCGTTGAGTTTATATGTCCTAACTTTAACATATAATGACCAGACTAATATAGAAAGGAGACACAAGAGTGAACATACTCTTTGAGAGGGAAAATTTGTGAGCTTCTGGCTTGTTCCAGGCTGGGTGAGCAACAGGGACCTGAGTTATGAGAATATCAAATCCACAAGTGCATTGTTTTTTTTACTTGATCTAAAGAGTTTAGAGATTGGTCATTCTTACAATGTCAGAGGAAGAGGGCTGTGCTGAATCTGAGGGCTTTGCTGAATCTTTTGCCTCTTCAGGAGCCTGCTCTGCTGTAGATTCACTTACCTAGAAGATTATTGAATATAAGTTTATCTAGCATAGGAAGGAGTGATGAAGATTCAAGAAAAGAATACTATTGAAGCATATATATGTAAGTAAGACCTCAAAGATGGTCTCCTCAGCACCGTTTTCAGCTTGGGATCTCTTTGTGCATTTGTGATCACCATTCTTAACTCTCTACAGTAAAATTCATAATCAGGTTAGAAGTAAAATAGTAAGAACTTAATCGAAAAAAAAAGAAGATGATAAGTAACTCACCTGCATGATCTCTGGATTGTTCCATGGGCCTTTGTCAGAGCGCATACAGCCCCCACTGTCAGCACAAGTACAAGTACCTCCAAGAAAATCAGGGAGTTCACTGATACAAAATTGAGATGAGACAGTCAGTATCTTCAGTAGCATAGGTTAGCTTGTATGAACATCTAAAATGGCATGTGAAGCTCACCTTTCATCAATTATCTCAAGCAACTTACTTTGGTACTTGTTGCCAAGAACCTGTTTATTCAAATATACTTAAAACTATATTCACTGAGCAAAAACAAACAGAACCAGCTAGCAAAAAAAGGTTTTGAATACTTGCATTGATCTTTGCTGTAGTCTTGGGGTCAAGGAAGGACTTAACCGTGCTCCACAACATCCTGAATCCTGAACCAGCATTGATGATAAACATCCGGTTCAAGCTCTGAACCAAACAAACATTTAAAAGTTTAAATTTCTAAAGCTCATTAAAGAATAGTCGAGCTTATAAACAAATATAAATCTCACCTCGGGATAGTTGTTACCATCAACCGCCTGAAGACGAGTAACCAAGTCCCTAGCTGCCTTGTTGAAATTTTTAAGTCCCTAATATGCTCAAAATTTAATGAGAGATTCATTCTATAAGTTAAACATACTTTAGATTCATGATAAGAGTCATACCACTCCTTGGACATCAAGAATAGTAGTGCTTTGATCAATCTGCTTCTTTGCAGCGATGGAGCAAGCCGGGAACTTAACGTTGAAAGTCCTCTCAAACTCCATAACATGGTAGTTAACATACCTATCCAACGTCGTGACTTGCATCAACTTGGTAGAGTCTACTTGACCAAGCCTCTCGATATACACAGGTCTTCCTTCCTTGTCAACTCCATGGTGTCCTTGAGGATAATACTTCAACACTTCATCGATTTCTTTAAACTCAAACTCTTCCATGACCGTGTCAGCACCAAACTCTTTCCTCCAACGAAGCATCTCAGTCCACATGAGTTTGGTTTTGTCTAGATCGAATTTCCTGGCCTTCAAAAATCTTAGCATCATGTGGTAGTCATCGTGTTTCTCCGGGAGAAGCTCGTCGAGGATAAGCGCTTGACGGAATGCGTCTACTGATTTTAACTCCTCGGCGTCGTGCACGTCTTCGATCTCTATAGGTGTCACTTTGCTACTTGTCTTTCTTTTCATTGAATACCTTAGGTTCTTTGATGAGCTCCTTTTCTTGAATGAGCCCATCCTTGGTTTCATTGCGGTTTCTATTAAAAAAACAAAGAAAACATTCAAGAAGGAGAACAAGAAAAAAGACAGCAACAAAAGAACTAGCTTGTCTTGTCTTCTTACGTTGGATGGAAGACATGATGATGTGCCAGATAGATGGAATAGGCAGAAATGGGCACGAGGGGGGAAGGGGGAGGAACACTCTACGAGGAGTGTCTTTTTTATTAAGTTTATATCAATGCCCTTTTTGCCAATATTCCTGCAAAAAAATCATTTACAAACCACATTCAAAACCTTCAAAAGAGCAAAAAAAAAAAAGAAAAAAGATGATTACCTCTGCAAAGAGGAAAATGAAAGGAAGGAGAAAGATAAAAAGGACATAAAAGAAAAACTGTCCGAAAATCTCTCAAGAGCCAATAACGTAGAGGAAAAGCTACACCTCTCTTTCTCTCTTTCCACCAAACCGTTCATTCTTCTTCCTTTTTTCCTTTTTTAGGTCACAGTTTTTTTTTCTTGTTATACAAGTTTTTGAAGACAGAGATGACCAGTTAACAATAGATGGAGCTAAAAATGATCGATGAATTATAAAATAATTTTCTGCAACTCTAAGCTACGTGATTATCAAGAAGAGTATAAAATAGGACAAGGGTTGAAACCAAAAAAAAACATTAAAATGTAAAGAATAAAAATAAAAAGATTAGGACTTATAGAAGAAGCTCTGAAGCGAGTCTCTTCAAGGACTCTGATGCTTTAATAAGATCAGAATCTGAATGTCCCGCTGAGACGAAGAGTTTGATCCCTACAGGTAACCGGCACTTATCAAGAAACGACTTCTTAGAGCTCACAACCAACAAGGAGTCTTCTTTCAGAGCCTGCATAAAGATCCAGTCATGTCAACAAACCAGGACAATGTCTGTTCTTGCAAAGAATGAAAAGACAGTGAACTTACACGATCAGCCATTTTCTCGAGGAGAAGCAAGTCGTCTTTAGTTGAACCAGTAGACTTCTCTAGTTTTAAGAAGACTATAGGTGATTCAGGGTCGCTTCCTAGCGACATCCCCTTGATATCTGACAATCCTTTCCATAACAGAGCAATGTTCTGCTTCATCTTAACTAACAAATCAGGGTTTTGATCAATGACATCAATGGCTGTGATAGCAGCACTTGCAAGATACGGTGGCAAAGAGGCTGAGAACACATATCCTGAACTGCTAAGTCTCTGTGCATTTGAAAGTCCAAAAGATCGTTTAAGTTTTTGACTGGGAACTAGTTCAGCAGCTTTAATGGTATATACCTGGTAATCAATGATGCGGGCATTCCCAGTGCAGAATCCACCCTCTGTGGCTAATGCGTGGCCCATTGCAGCAGTCACAACATCTATCTTCTCAATCTGTGTCAAGTAGAAAACTCATCACCATTGGTTATACGCAAATGATAAGTCTAATTAGAATGTGTGCCATTCTTACGCACAGGGACACCGTGATGCTCAGCAAGACCTCTTCCAGAACGGCCAAGCACACCTAAAGAGTTGCTTTCATCCAGTATAACACGAAACCGATACTTCTCTTTTAGTTTCACTATCTCATCAAGAGGTGCTATTTGGCCAGAGTTCTGCCAAAATTTAACACAACGTCACATTCATGTGTGAAAGCAGGAGAAGCTCTGTTTTACAATACCTGATATACAGCTTCAGCGACAATGTACCGTCTCAAGTTCTTTGAGCGCTTGTTCTTTGTCATGATCTTCTCGAGGGTACTACGAAGAGAGTCCATGTCATTGTGCTTGAAGTAGATGATTGTACTTCTCGAAAGCTGAAGTCCATTTTGTATCCCCCAGTGAACACCCTCGTCGCTAAGAGAAAAAAAAAAGAAAAAGACAAGAATGAGCCCAATGTTCAGATACGAAGACACCTTAAAGAAGTGGGGTACTTACGCAACAATGATATCGCCTCTTTTACAGAAACAAGGAATAGTGCTGAACATCGTGGAAAGTCCATAAGAATAGAGGATTGTATCAGGAGTACCCAAGAACTTCGATATTCTTGTCTCGCAATCAAGGTGAACATCTAAGTCAAGACGAAGTATCAAACAGTAAGAATCCTTTTTAAGCAACTGATACACACAGACAAATAATCTGTCTACCAATGTTATGCGAAGTCCCACATCGGTCAACAACAAACATGACTAGTCCAATGAGTATGAGCCCTTTCCAGAGAAGTTACTTTCTTACCAATGGTGCCATAGAATCCACGAGGGCCACAAGAACCAACACCATATTTTTCCAACGCAGAAGTGCATGATTCCTAGCATAGACTATCTTTAAGTATAACTGTTCACACAGAAGAAACTGCGCTGAATACAAAGTAGTAGCTTGTTGAAGTTACCAGCAACTTCTCGTGTCCAATGAGTCCAAGATAGTTAGCAGACGCAAAATTCACCACGTCTTTTCCATCAACCGTTGTATGCGGTCCAGCAGCACTGTATGGACAAACAAAATCTTTAAAGCGTAACGTCTAAAAAGGAAATGAAAGTAGTTATCCACCACACACACCTTTCAAGAACTGGTGGCTCATGCCTCATGTCTTCTGTAATTGGGGGTATAAGAGGTTCAGGAACCCATTCATCACATAACTCATCTATTTCCTAATCATAAAAGGAAAAAAAAACTCAATACATTTCCACTATTCACAATCCTATGATCTAAAACTGGTGTATCATAAAGAGATGGAGAGAGAACCTGTTCTGTTAGAGGTCGCTGGGGAGGTTTGTAACTCTTTTGAGAGAGGAGGAAGACAATAACAAAACCCAACAACACTTCCACAAAGATGTGCCCTGGCCAAAAAAATGAATATTTAATAATCTCCATAGGACTCAAAAGAACAGTGTTGTTCATAAAAAATGGCCTAACCTTGGATTCGGACACCAAACAAGACAACTCTAGCAGAAGGAGCATCCAGAATCATTGTAACCCAATTCAAAGAGGCCCTAAACATCTCCACCAGATTCGTATCCATTGCTAAACCAAAAAAAGCTTCTTTGCTCGATGGATCGAGCAAAGTGCAGCTAGCTCAACTTTGAGCAAAACCTACACAATTTTGCACAATTTCAGATCAGCAAACAACAAAAGATGGCACATTTGAATCCAAAGACAGAACCATACAAGCAAAGATCTGTTGTCTGATCACTACCACATTGCAAAAATCGATAAAAGTGGAAGCCAAAGTAGCAATTACAGTGATCGAGAAGAAGAATGGATTAGGAAACTATGTGATTACAATAGACCATAACAAGGGGTGTTATTACCTGATCCCAATTGATTTGATAGGAAACTCGAAATGAGCTTGTCCACAAGAGTGTTATTAACACACGAGAGAGTGCAGATGTAAGATTGGCTTTGCAATTTTGATGAATCAGAGGAAAAAAAGATATGAAATTATCAATTACAGAGATTAAAGGAACAAAGAAACAATTTGAAAAAAAAATAAAACGAAGAGAGAAGACGATGACCGGGTGCGCCTAGTGGGCGGATCACTCTATGTCCGTGTAATCATGTTAATGTTACGTTCGAAAAAAAAAACATTTATGGGCCCATAAGTTATAACGGACTCTGTTGTGGCTCAATAGTTCATCACTTTAGAGCAACAATTATTGGTAAAGTCCTTAATTAGTCCTTAAATTTTTATTTATAGAAAAAAAATTAAAAACAAACTAATCGCAGACCGCCACCGGTCAATAGAGTTCGTGAACAGCACACGAGAACCAAACCAAAACGCCTCTTAATTAAGATACTTCTCCCTTCGGTTTTTGTGTTTCTATGGGTCCATTCCCCTCTTCTCTCCTTAAGGACCAATTAAAGACTTTCAATAATGTTGTTCTTATACGTTAACGATGCAAAATTATACATATTTGTAAGATAGGGTATATGATTGCTTTCATATCTCCAATCACTTCCGAACCCTCAAAATTGAAGTAGTAGTTTTAAAAATGTGATATGACCACGTATACTTTATCAAGGGTTTTCATGTTTTATACTACATATCACAATATTATATATGTTTATTGTTGAGTAAATTTGGAATGGTTAGCATGCCTTAGTGCATCGAATTTTATACGACATCACAATATTTATATGTATTTCATTATATCAACATTTGCTTGACGATAAATGTTTGAGGTTATGATCACATCAATAATCTATAATAATAAAGTTGGGTTATCTGCCCCCACAATCGTCCACGTCGCTTCTTTTTGATATGGAGATTTTATGCCACGTGTCAACACGTTGTTGGTTATTTGCCTCTCACTTTTTTTTTCACCCGTCGAATCTGATTCAAAATTGGGCATCGTTATCATTTTAGGCCTAACGAAATCAGGGTTCTTTCCCAATCCCCACCTTTCTTCTTCCCATCGGTGTTTCACCCCTACAATTTCAGAAACACTCAGACAAACCTTTTGAT